ATGAGAAAAATATTAGAATACATTAGTATATATGCATATATTGTGTATATACACAATCATGAAAGTGTAACATTCGCTAATATTTAAAAAAATTTACGCCGAAAATAAGCTGAAAATAAAGTAAAAAGGAAATGGTAACACAAAAATAATACATTATATTATTAATTAAAGAAAATATTTTATTTGGCAGAATTGAATAGAATACCAACATCTGTTGGATGGAATTATTTATTACGCGTGATCAGTAGCCCACTTTTGTTATTGTATCGAACACGTTACTGAAGTCGCGTTTGCCGCGCATGCGCGTGAAAAGCGGCCCGTGTACCATCACTGATCCAAAATTTACTGATTGATATATGAATATATCATGTCAAAATTAATATTATATATTAATTATATATATTAATTATATAGTTCAACTAATAATAAAATTTCAAATATATTTTATTATTCTAAATGTAATATAGAATTAATCGAACCAATAACAAGAAAAAATTTTCGAAACCAAACTTAAATTTATGACAAATGTAAGGATTAATACAACATTTCAATGCACGCATATTATTTCAGGACACAAATCTCAATCGAAATGGAATACTTTTTTAAATCGGTTTTAATCGCATTTTTTCAACTAACGGTCACCCATCCAAGCCACGACTGCCTTCAACGCTGCTTGGCTTTCTCACGCGCTCGGCGAGGTTCGAAGTTCGCGCGAGCGCGGATCAAAAACCAAAATGTGTGAAATCGTAGGAGATTTTGAGAGGGAAGGTGTCAGCCCTCTTGCTTCTGCCCCTCCGGCGATCGACGAGGAGTCGCGACGCGAAAGTTGGGCGCCAGACGTGCTCGATGGTAACGTCACTCACGAAACTCACAGCTAGCGCGATAACGCGAAAGATGCCCTTACACTCGGCGATACGCGAAATCTACAAACGAATGTTCCTCCCGAGGTCGATCGCGTGAGGGCCGGCCGGCTCTAGCTAACGGCAGAGGGGCAGGGCGGAAACTAAGGGCGAGCGATGCGGTTTTCGATAGGATGGTGGTGAGCGGGTGAAAGAATTCAGATTCCAGAATTAAAATAGTAATGCCGTTTAATGAACGCGTGGCAAGACGATACGAAACAACCGGAAATGATATAACAGATAGATGGTAACAAAAAGAAAATGAAGAAAAGAACAGACTTGGCGATATGTGACAGAAAATAATCTAGCAAATTATCGAAAGGAATAAGTTCCGGCAAAAGAAAACGCAGTAACAAAAAGAGTATTCGGCTCGATGCCTCACGCAAGCAGAACAAAGACGGAAATATCCCGACACTTAACGCAGTTCGCGATCGGGTTAAAAGTTACAAAGTTACACGCAATCGGACCAATACAATAAAACGCGACCGGAACAGTATCGTACTCTAACACAGTGTAATAATCTATCCCGGTATTACGTGGGTACCGATACCAGTCGAAAGCAAACGCGACGAGTAGCCTCAGTACTAGGCTCGCAAGACGGACAAACATACGGATACGAGAAACTAACAATGAATTACTTGCGCCGATACGCAGAAGAAATCGAACGCACTAGTGTAATACGCGAAGATGCTAAGTACTCGC